GCCCCAGCTCAGGTACAAGCTGCAGCAGCTGCTGCAGTTAAAGCGCACCATCATCAGCACTCACAACATCCACAACAGCAACTGGATATTGAGCCGGACAGACCTATTGGATATGGAGCCTTTGGTGTTGTCTGGTGAGTAAAGATCAAAAAAAACTGAACCGATTTTTCCTTTTCATTTTTTTTTTTTTTTACCAGATCATAATTCATTCCTGGTTTTGTCATTTGAATCAGAATACAAGAAAGCTGCTTTACTACAAATTTTTTTTTACTGGTTCTTCTCTGTTCTTAGAAAGTTGGCTTCACTTGTTTTTGTTGGCAGAACGAGGTTTAGAGTGGTGAAGAGTAACCTCTGACTAACAGGCCACGCCATCAATCTCTTTTGAGACAAATGCAACGTGTTTATATACCTTCTACGCATTTTATTAGAATATGTATGTTGTGTAGCTGAGCTTCCTAAAGCTTCCTAAAGTTTCAGGTTAACAAATGAGCATTAGAATGTGTGTTTTGACCTGACTTAAAAGTTAGAAGTTAAAAGCGTATGAAAATGTCTTCCTCCTTCAGTCATCTATCAAGATCTTTGTCTAGGAGTCTGTTTGACCTGCGGTAGTATGCTGTGTGCTACCTGAAAGAGAGTATCTGAACTTTGCTCTCCTCTCATAAATGTAAATGGGATTTTCTCTCTTACTGTAGTGCTGCCTACAGTCCTTTTTATTCCCCAGCCGCTGTTTCAGAGGATTCTGTTGGTGGAGCATAATCTCTTCTAATGCATTTTGTGACCACCTTACTACAGTGTATGTAATTATTGCTCTTCAGGATCACTGAAGCAAAAACTGGCATGATTTTCTATATCTTTTATTTTTTTAAATGGTTGTCAGTTTGCCGAATTCTGAAAGGTTCATTAGAACACGAAGGACGCCTCGGTGGGGTTTTGAGAGCCAGCGCCTTGCAGCGCACTTCCTGCATCGCACGTACAGAGTCTGAAGGGTGCAACCGCCTCGCGTCCTGCCGAGCTTGCCACAGCGTCCAGTCGAGAAGACTTTCTGTGGTGCTTAAGGAGTTTTGCTCTAGGTACCGACTGCACTTTAATTCTGCCGAGGCAGAAGTTATTGTGTGCTGGGGCTGCAGCCTGTACCAGCACACGGTGGCGAAGCCCTTT